ACGCGGGATCAACGCTGGATAGGTAAACTGGTTAACGGCGAGGGCAGTGAAAACCTTAGAATAAGATTCTCTAAATGGGCCATTTTAATACGAATCAATTAGTAAGATATTCTTGTATGCCCATCTATATGGCTCTAATTAAGCACGTATATGATAAATTTTCTATTAATATTGGAATACTGTGAGAAGGAATAATGTAGAAAAAGAGAAGGTTTTTATATAAAGCTCTTAAACCAGAGTACAATATTATTCAGGATCCAGTATCACCTATTTTTGCAGGTCGTAAACACTCCAATGAAACGCTTAAAAATTGTCTTCCTGATACAGATTTGAGGAGTACAGAAATAAAATGTCTGAAGCTAAGAAAGGACAACAAAGACAAGAAGGATCTGGTAGACCTTCTCACCAAATATCAGTTTTTGATAAGAAAAAAATGAGACTACTATTTATGATTCTATCCGTGAAGCAGCTAGGGCCTTAGGTATTCGTTCCTCAGTAATTGATATGTTTTTTAATAATCAAAAGAAGCCTTACAAAGGTAGATATATTTTTAAAAAGTTATAATTATTTTGTCTGCGCAGGTTATAGGTAGTTTCTCTTGATTTCTCATTTTCCAGTTCTATGTCCTCAAAGGTTTAATTTCAAAATTAAACCTAAATCAAAAAATATTTGTCTTGCAACACAAAAACTAGACCCTTAGTAAGCTTAAGATTTACATTAAGTCAACATTCTCGTGATGAGGTATTAATGAAGAGTTTATATAATTGTTTAGGTTGCGAAGGGTATAACCCAGTGTATGGGCGAGATGAAGGATATTTTACTGTTTCAAGTTTATCTGACATTTATGGAAAGATTATTCCATTATTAGAGAAGTATCCGTTAGTTGGATCTAAACAACAAGACTATTTGGATTTTAGAAAAGCAGTCGAATTAATGAAATCAAAAGCTCATTTAACTGAGGAAGGGTTAGATGAAATTAAACAAATTAAGGGTGCTATTAATAGAGGGAGAAATTCTCACATGGGTTTATATAAAATTGTTGGTCAACTATCTATCAATAAATTCTATATAGATTGCTGTAATTATAAATATTGTGTATCAAATTTCACTATATGCTGAAAACTTATAAGGCCTTATATACTAGAATACTTAATACATTCAGTGACAATTTTAAGGATATTGACAATCAGCAGGAAAACAAATCTGGGTTTTCTGTGTAGCCTTTTCAGGTAAAAAAAAAATTTAGATTGAGCGTGTCCCCAGAGACTATACGTGAAATCAGGGGGGAGCTACCACTGAAAGAGATAGTCCAACTCAGTATACCTTATGGTTTATTGGGTTGACCTTATAGTTTTGCTTCAACATCTCATTTTATTTTAACATTTTCAATTAGTTTTACTATAGTTTTAGGAGCAACTTTATTAGGGTTTCAAAAGCATGGCTTAGGGTTTTTCTCACTTTTCGTTCCAGCAGGGTGTCCTTTAGCCTTGGTGCCTTTATTAGTGTTAGTTGAATTAATTTCTTATATTGCTCGTGCTGTCTCTCTTGGACTTCGTTTATCCGCTAACATATTAGACGAGATTAGGCCCTCAATCTTTTGTGTATAAGAGCCAAATTCCGGAAAAACCCTAAAGCTTTAATAACTAAAGATAACAAGGAAACTTCTTATCCGGCCTCATTAATGACTGAGGATATAGTAATATCATTAAAGATTCTAGTAATAGAAATGGGTGATCGTGGATCTAAATCAGATATAATATCTGTAAAAGAGCAACGAGTAGACGGTTCTTCAGTATTTTATACTGTAAGGTGTACTCTAGTCGCCGGGAAACCGGTTCTAAGGTCTAAGGTTGGAACATTGATCAGTTTTGCCATACGCGTAGGATA